GATGATGGAGGGGAGTCATGTCCGGGCGATGGAGGGGAGTCATGTCCGGGCGATGGAGGGGAGTCATGTCCGGGCGATGGAGGGGAGTCATGTCCAGGCGCTGACCAGGGTAGGAATTTTCCACACAGCAGGATTTTTTTTTTTTTAACTGAATTTTGGGTTTGATAAACAGTTGCGCTGATATCCTGCAACATAAGAAAATCGCAGCCGCCGCCATTGGTCCCGGCTTTCAGGAAACATATCATGTTGGGGGTTTTTTAAGTCCTCTTCAGGCCCGAAATGTGGATGATAAAATGTAACAAAACGCGTCCATGTCAGCGAAGGGTTAAACAATGTATACAGAAGAGCCGCCAGTGTTCAGAGAAGTCCCTATTGCACAACCTGACACGGCGTCACCCTTGGAATTCGTCCCGGTCTGTAGGGAGCATGATGACACAAGCTCTCCTCCGCCATCGGCGTCGCCCCGTCCGACAATCTTTACCCCATGCGGGGTGATGTCACCCGGTGACTCATCCTCGGTTGTATCACACGGTGAGGTTAGAGCAGGAATCTTCCTCCGAGGTAAGAACACAAATCTGGCTCTGGAAGGTGAAGGAGACGAGCGAGCCGGGACACTTGTTATATGGAAAGATAGTTTATTTCAGGTATCATTTCCTCTTTCTGCCCTCCTTCCTCATTCTGCCCTCCTTCCTCTTTCTGCCCTCCTTCCTCATTCTGCCCTCCTTCCTCTTTCTGCCCTCCTTCCTCTTTCTGCCCTCCTTCCTCCTTTCTTTCCTCCTTCCTCTTTCTGCCCTCCTTCCTCTTTCTTTCCTCTTTTCCTTCCTCTTTCTGCCCCCCTTCCTCTTTCTGCCCTCCTTCCTCTTTCTTTTCCCCCTTCCTCTTTCTGCCCTCCTTCCTCTTTCTTTCCTCTTTCTTTCCTCTTCTCCTTCCTCTTTCTGCCCCCCTTCCTCTTTCCTTTCCTCCTTTCTCTTTCTGCCCTCTTTCCTTTCCTCCTTCCTCTTTCCTTTCCTCTTTCCTTTCCTCCTTTCTCTTTCTGCCCTCTTTCCTTTACTCCTTCCTCATCTTCTTCTCCTTCCTCTTTCCTATCCTCCTTCCTCTTTCCTATCCTCCTTCCTCTTTCCTATCCTCCTTCCTCTTTCCTATCCTCCTTCCTCTTTCCTATCCTCCTTCCTCTTTCCTTTCCTCCTTCCTCTTTCCTTTCCTCCTTCCTCTTTCCTTTCCTCCTTCCTTTTTTCTTTTCCTCCTTCCTCTTTCCTCTTCTCCTTCCTCTTTCCTATCCTCTTTCCTCTTCTCCTATCCTCTTTCCTCTTCTCCTATCCTCCTTCCTCTTCTCCTATCCTCCTTCCTCTTTCCTATCCTCTTTCTGCCCTCCTTCCTCTTTCTGCCCTTCTTTCCTCCTCGAACATTTATTGTTACATTGTATCTATACGTATGCTGTACCTTGTGTCAGCAGGGGCTCATTCCCTCTTTAAAACAGGTGGCCCTGGCATGCTTTCTCTTCAGCTAACCCGCAGTGCTCTGGGAATCCCTGGTCACATGTTACATGGCTGTGTGTATGTAGTAGGGTTGTTGTTATTTCATATTTAATGGTCATCTGTTTTCATGGTGTTTGGGGACCCCGTTGATAAACATGTTCATCCTCTGTACATGTTTGAATGGCACGTACCATGCTTTGTCCATGTATGTTCTGAACATTTATTGTTACATTGTATCTTTATTTCCTCTTCTGGTGTTTGCGTTGTTTCCAGGCGCAGTAATAAAGTTCGTCCCTAAAGACAAAGTCTCTCTTTTTTTTTTTCTTCTCCTTTTAGAACTCTCCGTATTCGGGGTACGATCAGAGTGGCTGGTCTTGTGCGGGTCACCCCCGACCTCCTTATCCACCCAATTACACGGTTGGAGGACAGGTA